GTTATTGCATTAGATGTTTAGGACTCAAAAATGAGTATCTACTGAAGAAATATGCAATTATATTTCCAGGAAATGTGTAATAGACTGAAGCTAAACTTAAGAAAAGGCTTTTCCTCCTCCAATAGGTCTCAATCACTTCCCAGAAAAAAAACAAAATTCATTTATAACATTAATTACTGCCTATGTGATGTTATTAATTTTTTATTTATTTTTCTAAGGGCTCTATAGACTGCAAGCTCCATGAGGACAAGAGCTTTGTCTGTCTTATTCTTTTCTCTCTTTTTCAGAGTCTAGACCAATGACAGAAACAGACTAACAATTTAGCAAACAGTTCAAATCAATAAATCTAAGTATTTCTTAATGAGTATTAAAATAGATTTTTAAAAAAATGTTAAGCAAAAGTCTTTTTGTTGTTCTTTAATTCAAGTTGTATTAGTTTTCTGTTGTTACTACAACAAATTATCACAAACTTTCTATTGCTGTCGAGTTGATTCTGACCCATGTCAACACTTTAGGACAGAGTAGAACTGCCACATAGGGTTTCCAAGCCTGTAAATCTTTACGGAAGCCGACTGTCATATCTTCTCCCAGGGAGTGGCTAGTGGGTTTGAACTATAGACATTTCAGTTAGCAGCTAACCACTTAACCACTGCACCACCAAAACTCCTTACCACAAACTTAGTGGCTTCAAATAACTCAGAAGTCTAAAACAGGTCTGTAAGGCTGCATTCATTGTGGGGGCAGTAGGGGAGAATCCCTGTACTTGCCATTCCTAGTTCCTAAAAGCTTCCTGTATTCCTTGGCTCATGGCACTGTCCTCCATTTTCAAAGCCAGCAGCATAGCATCTTTGAGTCTTGCTTTCTCTGCTTCCTTCATCACATTGTCTTTTCTGATTCTGACCCTCCTGCCTCCGTATTATAAGCATCCTTGGAATTACTTTGGGCCACTCAGATATCTATGATAATCTACTCATATCAAAATACTTAAACTAATGACATCTATGAAGTCACTTTTGCCAAGAAGGTAATCACAAGTTCTTGAGACTAAAACATGGACATTTTTGGGGAGCTATTATACAGCCTACTGCACAGGATATCTCTACTCTAAGTCAATTTATTTCAAATTCTGAATGGGAGCAGATATTTGAATAGAATAGCTTGCTCTTTAATAAAAACCCTCTAATTTTATTACCCACTTATTCATTACCGTATGGCTTCTCTCTTATAAAGGCAAAGCTTTTCTTCCTTCTAAACACTTGAAGACACAGCTGGATAGAGCAGTTTAAAAGTGCAGATATGTAAAACCCTCACAGAGGAACAGAAACTTTGAATCACAATGTCACCGTGGAGGAGACTGGACCAGTAAGGTTTTTTTGTTCTGGTAGTGTTTAAATTACCCCCCTAGAGAACTTAATATGGTGCCTAAAATCCAAATTGTCTGTTAAGTCTGACCTTTGGAGAGTTCATGGGATTCTAGGAATTACAAACACACATGTAAGCATCGTGCCTTTGTTTTTACAGCAGATGCTTATTTAGCACATTCCATGCCTAAACATACTCTGAGGGGAGGCACAGAAAAACAAATGGTCTCACTCCTCAGATGACTTTTACTATGTAACAAAAAGCAAATACTGGACACGAGTCAGTTGGACCTGGGCCAGCAGTATATTTATTACCTGCTCCTCATGTGCTCTTACCTTAACAGGAGGTCTATGAGGTCCTTCAGGTATCTGGATGTAGATTACAACTTGGATCCTGATTCCAGGAATTCTCGAAAGGTTGGGTATTCCCCATTTCTCCAGTGCACAGAGATCCCCTTGGGGGAGCACTAGGGGAACATTTTAACTTATCCTTGTCTTGGAGTTGCAGGATCCTTATTTCTGAGGACCTGGCTTCTCCTTGAAGCAATGGGTTCCATGTCTAACATTGGCTCAGACCAAGGCTAATGATTCTTTTGGGCGCTACCTCTCAGCTTCCTGATAAACGAACCTTGATTTCGTTAATTGCTGACTCCCCATCCCTTTTGACCCAACCAATGCCCTATTCTATTCGCTATCTTCTGAATTCCATATGGGTCAGGTCTTCTTGGCTGCCACTCCAAATGTGCTGCTCCTGACTATAATTGTATCTATTCGACATCTGTTGATTAAGTGTCACCACCTGGCCTCCACTGTGTCAGGTCTATCATCCCCAACACTATCAGTGAGTCCGTTCTGCAATAGCACATTTTCCATCTGCCCTGCCCTACAGAGGAGGCGCCACCAGTGAACTTTTTAAGAATAGTAGTATTCCTTTCACCAGTGCATGTTCTTATTGTTCGGTATTTCTGCTTCTAACCCTTTAAAATTGTACTTCAGAAATAGAAAGTAGAAGTCACTCTAGCTGATATTTCAAAGGATCACAGGAAACTTTAAGCCTTAGTTTTGAAGTGAATATAAGGAATTCAAAAAACCAACACCAAAATGAAAACAAGACTGGATGCAAATTTTGTGCTTTCCAGCACTCCAATCTTGTTCCTAGACCTCCTAGGAACAATGAACAACATCATCATCTAATGGTAATTTCCATGCCTTATAAAAGAATAAGAATCATTATTAGTATTATACATTACATTTTTTCTTATTTGTTTCTGAATGACAATAGAAGCTCATTTTACAAAATTCAAAAGATAGAATGTATAACGAAAAGCATCCTTCCCACCCAGTTCTCCCCGGAAGGAATCAATGTTACTAGTTTCTCATGAATCTGTCCAGAGATATTCTGTGTATATATGTATGGTTGCATATGCTAATTGCATTTTTACAGTGATTACAGTGTATACTTTCTTGCATCTCATTTTTTATTATGAATTTATCTTGAAGATTGTTCTATATTAGTACAAATAGAGCTCCACTCTCTGTTTATGTAGTGGCTACATAGTAGTCCACTATACGTACATACTAAAATTTGTATTACTAAATCCCATGTAAATGGGTCATTAAATACTTTCCAATCTTCTACAAGCAATGCCTCAACGGACCTCTTGTGTTTCTGTGTATGATCTTGCACACATATATTCACTAAAAGTGAATGTGCTAAACCAAAGTATAGAAACATTAAAATGTAATAAGAACTATGACTTATTCTCAACACATATTATACAATTGTACTCCCATATGAGAGTAATTCTTTTTCTACAATCCTTCAAACACAACTTGCTATCGAATTTATTAATCCTTGTCAATCTGAGAAGTGAAAGATTATATGAATGATTATATTTTAGTTTTGTTTTCTAATAATTAAAAGTGGATTACCTTAATTATTTTCTGTGAATTATCTACCCATATATATTGAGTAAACCTTTCTAGCATAAATCTTAAATAAATTACCTCTTTTTCTGTGATAATAATTAAAAATATCTTTTCAGAGTATTGTTTGTCTTTTGACTTTCTTTTATGAAGGCAGCATGCCTAACTTCAGAAAAACATCTTTTTGATATTTTACATGAGAGCACATTAAATTTACAGATTAATTAGAGAAAATTGACTTAAATATGTATACTTTGTATAATTCTTTTTGTGATTTTCAGTAGCAATCTTGATAAATTTATTTAAAGTATTTTTTACTGCTACATCAAGTTTGATCTTGTTCTCTATTCTATCTTCTAAACTGGGGACAGCAAACGTTTTCTCTCAGGGGCTAGGTAATAAATATTTTAGTCTTTTTGGACCGTACAGAGTTTGTTTCAACTACTCAACTCTACCATTGTGACACGAAAGCAGCCATAAACCAATGAGCATGGCTGTGTTCCAATAAAACTTTATTTATAAAAACAGGTAGCAGACCTGTATTGGCCCACATGCCAAAATTTGCCAACACCAGTGTTAAAGCACTATTCGTCTCCCCTTTAAATTAACTAATAAAATCAACAGTTATTCTATCTAATGTCTGCCAGGCACTGATATCCTCTAGTAGGCAATTTTAAGTTTAAGATTTTGCTAGAGAGAAGTGAAAAACTTAAACACCAAAAATAAGTCGGAGCATATATCCACATTCTGTAATTCAGGCACTAACAAGGTCCCAGTTGACTTAACATTCAGCGTATGTTCTACAGCTAATCCTTTTTAAACAGTGAGCTGACGCCTTTCACAATGTGACCAAGTAATTTAGCAGGAGCAGACAGGATTGAGGTGATTTCAATGGCAAATTTGTCCAGGGCCTGTGAAATCAAGGAAGTATTATCATTTGTACTCTTATAAACAATATTTTTCAAATAATTAATCTCTGCATCCATCTCTTCAGACTTCTTTCTAAATCCTTCATTAAGCAGATCTTCCCGGACCTAAAATAAGAGATGCGAAAGGAGTAAATATTCTAGAATCTGAATTTTTTAAAGAATCACATTTTGTATTTAGGAATTTGTGAAACTGTCTATATTTTACTCCCAGAAATGTTCTCTCTTACTAGATCATGAAGGAGAATATTTGCAACAAGGAATATCTTCTGCCTCGAAAATGGACGTTGAGAAAAAGCAGTTTACAACCTTGATAATATTCACCCACCAGCTGGGTTTTGCTAGGGTGCTAAACCAGGCATGAGAACAAATGCTGTAATAGGTTCCAACCAAAAAATGCCAGTTGGGAAAATTGTAGTAACTCTAAGTCTTACTTGGGATTGCATGGTCATCTACATCTTCAAAATAATGGGAATTTATAAGCTAATCTCGAAATCTTTATAAATACTTCCAGATGGAAAAAGAGAGAATTCCCCAGTGCTAAGTGGTGACCTGGGCTGGCTATCCTCAGCAGAGATGAATGCAGCAAGTTTAGATGTTAACAGTTGCCTGTATTTCTAATTAGGACTCATCTGATAGTTTTAGGTCAGTGTGGCTGTAACTCAGGGTCTTTGGGTTCCTGATAATTGGCAGTGACCTTGGTAAAGTAAACCAGCTGCTGCTTGTATTAGATACACCTGGTTGAAATATGTGATCTTGTGAGATGAGTTTAGAATCATCCAAAACAGCAGTTCAAACCTATTTATATTCCCCAAAGGCTTGGATGGGCCAAAGTCATTCTGGACTCTCCAGAGGCTCAGTGTGAAGCAGAACTCAAAGGCCCCTTGAAAAACTAAAAGGATTCAGGGCCTCTAGTGAATCATCCAGTAGATGGCAATGAAGATTCTTTATATTGCTCTAACCTAGAACCCCTCCCCCTTCTTGAGGCACCAAGGCAATGACCTTCAGGATCTACCAAGGTCCCAGCCAGACTTACCTTCAACTTATGCTCCATTATCCTTTCTAACTCTCTAATATAGTTCTCTCTTTCCTTCTCCAGTTTCTCTTTCAGTTGGCCCTTGTTTTCCTGTAAACTCCTGTCTTGAGCCTCCTCTTGCTGCTGCTGCTCCATCTGTTTCTGTCTTAGAAGTTCCAGTTCCTTCTCAGCTGCCTCCTTCTTGGCTCGCTCCACTGCCCATGAAGATTTTACAAAGAAAAGAAAATAATAGTCAGGCTTGAGCTCTACCTGACTGAGATCATAGACAAAACAAAATTCGAAAGGGGGTTGGCAAATCCCTGAATTCACCCAGTAGCCACTTGGACATCAAGAGTAGGTTTGCAAATGTGATGGGAAAGCCCCTGCCTGTATGGGTGGACTTACAACCACAATCCCCTTGTTATTTTCAGATTCAGCACAGCGTGAGTTCCACAGAAGGAGAGGAAGAACATTGTTTCAGGAAGATCTATCTTCCTGTAAGATTCCTCAGAGGGTATTGCAGGAACAAACCTGCCCACTGTGGGCTGAGCCTTGCCACTGTACCTGCTATGGCCTTCTCTGCATTTGTGAGGGCTTTGTCTGACTGCAGAATGGAATTTTCTATTGGTGCCTGAGACTGCAGGAAGCTCTGGAGGACCTCGTTTGCCTGAGGAACCAAGAAAAAGCAAAGGACTGAAATTTTCACTGAGGAGATTAGTGCTGCATCAACAAGTCTGTTCATGTCATTTTTACTTCCTGTTAAAATCCTCCGGCAGATCACTACCAAGTCCAAACTTAATGTGATGAGAGACTCTCCTTACCGCCATTTCCCTCTCCCTGCAATTCCTCTTATGGTGCCACTTCCCACCACCCGAATTAGGTTCTAGCCACTCAGAACTATGCACAGTTGTACAATCACACACCCTTGGGTGCTTTTCCATATTTGTACATCTATCTACCTGGGGCTCTTCCCTTCATGTAACATCTCATCTTGGATAACACATGTACAAATACTTCAAAATTTACATCACCTTCCTTTTCCGGGAGGTTTCCTAGACCATCTTCTCAATCAATGGGAAATGCTTCCTCTAATCTCTGTTGCTGCTCTCCCCTGACACTTGCTGGATGTGTAACTTTAGGCAAGTTATTTAGCCTACCTGTGCCTCTCAGTTCCCATCTGGAAAATGTGGAGTGTATGAGTACAATGCTTCATACCTGATTTGGAAGATCAAATTAAAACCTCTAGGGAAAGTGCTTATAATTGACTGCCACAACAGATATAATTGTTTGATATATTTTAGTTGTATTGTTATTGTCATGTTTATTACCACGACTGGTGCAGCTCTGGACCACAGGTTCATAGTGTTTAGCTCTGTCTGCAATTGTCCATTTACTTGACTATTTCTCACTTTTGATCCACCTTGAGTGCAAAGACTCTGACTTTATTTGTAAATCCTCAGCCCTTGGCAAAATGCTTGCCTCTTGGTTTGATGAAGGGAATGAATCATTTCTGTTCTGTTTCCCCTGGATTTCTGATTCCCATACTCTTTCATTGTAACTGAACATTTCTACTGCCAAACATTTGTACACATAAATGTTAATAATGAATAAATAATGGACATTGAAAGTTAAAGGATTTATGATATCACCATGCTCTCCTCTTCCTACAGCTGCTGCTGTGTTATGAGGTTTCAGGGAACCTTTGATTCTGGTCTGTAGGTGTCCTTGTGCTCCACTTGTTCCTCACCTTTACTCCTTTCCTGGGTACTTGAGAATAGTCCCGTTCAATCTTTTTCTTTGTTTCTATGTAGAGCTTGTACCCTCCAGGGACAAAAAAAGTTCCAGCTGAAATACTTTCCATCAGGGCCTTTGAAAGATGATTCAGTTTATCCCAAGAGTATTTAACAGAGGCCTCTTCATTCTGCAGCAAGAAATCCTCCTTTTTCTTCTTTACGATTTCCTACAAGGGAAATGTAGAAGAAAGTCATCAGAAGAAAGAAATTGGGAAGATAAAATTTTAAAGAAACTAGGAGAATTGTCAATTGTTGCCATAAGTAAAAATCGACTCAATGACACCTAACAACAACAACAAGGGCATGCAATGAATCAGGAATCAGGGGACTTGATCTACTCCCATTTCTGAGAACTTTCCTAACCTGCCTGGGACTCAGTTTTCTCATTTGTGAAATGATGGGTTTGCATTATGTAACCTCTGTGATTCTTTGCACCTATAGCAGTCAGCGATTCTATCTTCAATGATACAAGGATACAAGAGCATTAAAGTTAAGAATAGCCTGGAATGAGGCTCTGATAAGTGAAACGTTGGTCCTAAGGAATGGGAAAGTATGTTCAGAAAATCGATAAGCTCCGGAATGACTTTTGGCTGTTTTGTTGAAGGATTTGACTCCACAGAAGTATTCACATAAAGAGTTACCTATACTGATTTTGTTCAGCGATCATCTAGATTTCTGGATAAAGTGCACAACCTTTAGGGGGAAAAAAGAAGGAAATATAACCCCTGTAACTCTCTCTCTTATGAGAATTCAGATTACTTTATCCTTAGTTAGAGATAAGCCATAGAGTCAATAAAGGCACCTGTAGGCTTCATTTCTTAATGGGAAGTGTCACAAAAGGTAAATATTAAGTACCACAAGCATCTTCTGGAACTCTTGATTTTCATCCTTGAAGCAGTGCTCCATGAAGACTGCAATGGCTTCCTTCTCACAGGCCATGTGCACATCCAGAAGCTCCTGGAGCGTGTCTGTGGGGAGCCTTGCACGCTGAGCCATCTGCTCACTGTAGTGGTCAGCTGCCTTCTGCATGGCTGCCGAGTTCTCACGTTGGGCCAGAGTTGTCACCGCATTCTCTAAACAAGGCACTGCTCCACTGTTGATGGTATCCACATAGGTCTCCACCAGAGTTCCCAGCCCTGAATGAGGCAGGAAATTTAGGGATAAATAGCAAGTTCCTAGATTCTGAGACTACATTTCTAAAATCACATGCACGCGTGCACACACACACACACCCCTACTTCCTTCTAATATCATCACCTTCATTTTCCTATTGACTCCTCCTTGTATGGTTCTCCAGGTCAGAGCATTAGAAAAATAAAGTGTCTACCTTCATCCAACCTACTCAGGAGTGTCAGGAAAAATGTAATTTCCCATTAAAAGAAATTAAAAGGAAAATAGATTACACAAGTAATCAGATAAGGCAGGGTAAATTACACTATATTTATTCCTAATTCTTAGGCTTCCAGTGAATTTTTAGGAATTTATGGGCTAATATTTATTTGTGGGCTGCATTAAACTCCAAAAAATATCTTTTGTATTCTCCTTGCAAAGAACATTTATCATATAGGACTTTCCCTGAGAAGATGGTATATTCTGTTCTTATATATGCCTTTAGTAATTTTATCATCAGTGGAGGGTTTTTTCAGAAACATGAAGCCCCAGATATCCATGACAATGCTTACAATTTTGGAGAGGGATTTGCAAACCCCCTAAAAAATATAAACACTAAAATATACATATTTCTTCATGGAGTGTAAATATCTGTATATCCATACTTCTATAAAGAATCAAAAAAAATTCTAAGAAACACATTATATAATATATTCAACACATATTTCTGTTGTTGTTAGTTGCTGTCAAGTCGATTCCAACTCATAGAGAACCCACAAGTGCAGAGTAGAACTGACCTGTAGGGTTTTCAAGGCTGTAACCTTTCAGAAGCAGATCACCAGGCTTATCTCTCGAGGCATTGCTGGGTAGGTTCAAACTGCCAACCTTTCAACTAGTAGTTGTGTGCTTAACCATTTGCACCACCAAGGGACTCCCAACACATATTAGGCCCCACATGAATATGAAAAAGAGACTCACGATTCCCGTTGACTATGATTCCCTCTCTGAGGGTCTTGGTTTTTGCATTGGTGAATATGTAAGAACAGAATTTTTTTGTTTGCTCCTGAAAATTAGGATCCAGTTCATATTCTCGCACATCCTCAATATGGGCTAGGAGTTTTTTGTCACTTGATGGCCGGTCAAAGACAAAACACTTCCGGTTTGGAAAGAAATTCCTGATGCACTCCCTGGGCTGATTGGATATTTGGGCTTTGAGATTCTTACCTGAAAAATAGGAAAAAAATATTACAGTGGCCAAAGCCTTGGGGCACGGAAGCTAAAGATTTTCATGACCATTGACTTTTGTATCTTTGCAGTCTTCAATGCTTCCATGTTCTGAAACCTGTTAAGAACAAAGTAGCTACTATAGTATTATGATAAAATGTGCAAAGACATGAAATTAGGAAAAAAAAAGAAAGAACAGAATCAGCATTTCTCAAGTTGAATAAACTAAAGAGAAAATTCAAGCCTTGAGTTGCAATATTGAAGGATTCTATGGGCAAAAAAAAAAAAGAATGATGCAGGAAGTATCAAAACAAGATGGAAGGAATACACAGAGTCACTGTACCAAAAAGGGTTGGTTGACTTTCAGCCATTTTAGGAGGTATTATATGATCTAGAGTCACTGGTAATTACAGAAACAATTTAAGCTGCACTGAAGGCATTGGTGAGAAAAGGCTCCAGAAATTGACGGAATACCGATTGAGATGGTTCAACAAACACATAGAACACTGGAAGCCCTTACTTCTCTATGTAAAGAAATTTCAAAGACAGCTACCTGGCCAATTGACTGGATGAGATCTATATCTGTGCTTATTCCAAAGAAAGGTATTCAAATGAGATGCAGAAATTGTCAAACAATATCATTAGTATCACAAGCTAGCAAAACATTGATGCAGATAATTCAAAAACATTTGCAGCATACTTTGACAGGGAACTGCCAAAAGTTCCTGTTTGATTTACAAGATCACAGGGAAAAAGGAATATCATTGCTGATGTCATATGGATCTTGGCGATAACCAGAGAAGATCAGAAAGATATTTACATGTGTTTTATCGACTACACAAAGACATTTGACTGTGTGGATCATAAAAAATTATGGATAACAGTGTGAACAATGAAAATTTCAAAACAAATGTGCTCATGTGGAACCTGTTCATAAATCAAGAAGCCTTCATTTGAACAAAACAAGGGGATACTGCATAGCTCAAAATTAGGTGTGTAGCAGGATTGTATCCTGTCACCTTACTTATTCAAGCAGTATGCTGAACAAATAATTCAAGAAGCTGGACTATATGAAGAAGAATATGGCATCAGGACTGAAGGAAGACTCCTTAATAATCTGTGATATGGGGCTAACACAAGCTTGCCTGCTGAAAATAAAGACAACTTGAAGCTTACTGATAAAGGTTAAACACTACAGCCTTCAGTATATACTATAATTGAACATAAAGAAAATGAAAATCCTCACACTTGAACCAATAAACAACATCATGATAAATTACAAAGAAATCAAAGATGTCAAGGATTTCATTACTTGGATGAGCAATCAACATCCATTGAAGCAGCACCCAAGAAATCAAATGACATATTGCATTAGGCAAAACTGTAGCAAAAGACCTCTTTAAGGTTTTACAAAGCAAAGATGTCACTTTGATGACTGAGTAGCATCTGACTCAAACTGTGGTCTTTTCAGTCACTTCCTATTGATGAGGAAGTTGGATAATGAAAAAGGACGACAGAAGAAGAATTGATGCATTCAAACTGCAGTTTTGGTAAAGAATATTAAATACACAGTCGACTGCCAAAAGAATGAACAAATCACTCTAAATAAATACTACCAGAATGTTCCCTAGAAGCAAGGATGGCAAGACTGACTCACTTACTTTGTACACGTCATCAGGAGAGATCATTCACTAGAAAAAGACATCATGTTTGGTAAATTAGAAGACCAACAAAAACAAAGGATGGATTGAAACAATTTAGCCACAACAATGGACTCAAACATAACAACAATCATGAAGATGGCACAGGAGCAGACAACAGTTAGTACTGTTATAGATAAGGTTGCTGTGAGTCAGAGCCAACTCCAAGGTAACTAACAACAACAATATGTTTATTGAGCTCCCTTGACATAGACCTTCAATGCCAGTTTGAAAATTAAATTTAATTTACAACGGCCAACGTGGCACTATAGACAGAAACACTACATCGTCCCTCCACAGCAAAGACCTGAAAAACTAAGTCAAACAGAGACAAACATCAATCCTGGAACCCTAAGCATCAAATGAAGCATCAAATGAAGAGATATAGAACTCAGCCAAGCACCAAATAGAATAATAAACTGACAGGGAACAGAGACCGAGGAGAGATACATGCAGAGGTCCCCTATCAACTAAAGTAGCACAGATTCATCATCTAGGATTCCTGTTGGAGATTGGTAAACAGGGAGTATGGGAAAGCAGCTTCACAGAGCTCCCAGCAGGAGACAGAACAACAGGTAACCAGCAATATATGCTTTCCCACTCCCCCACCCTTCTTCACCCCCCTCGACCTCCCCTGCTTCCTGCAGCTACAGTCTCTTGGCTGGGACGCACCAGCTCCTGCCCTTTGCTGCTTGGATTCCACTCGCCCACACTGGCCGGCTCCTTGAGTGCCATGTGTTTGTTGCTGGTGTTGCTTTTTTCCACTTCTTTTGGTTTCTTCCATAGCTCTACTACCTCCCCTTCCTTGATGTCAAATACCTGGCTCTGTATGCCATCTTTGCTTCTTCCTGAAAGGCTGTGAAAAGCCACTCGACTGTGGAACTGCTTCCCAGCCCGGGCCACCACACTGGTGAGATCCCCGGGGCTTTTTTGTTTGTTTGTGTGTTTTGATTTGTTCTGTTCTGGTTTCTTTATTTGTTTTCTTTTTCTTTTCTTGGCTTGGGAGCCCCTTCTAGCCGGGCTGTACTTCACTGCTTGGGAGCTACTTCCTCAGGCTGTGCAACCGTGAAGTAGGATCCCTGGGGGCATTTCATTTTTCTTTTTAGTTTGTTTGTTTTTCTTTGTTTTTTTTTTTCTTAGTTTTCTTTTCTCTATTTTTCCCTTTTTGTATTTCTTCATTTCTCAGTTGATTGTCTCTCTATACTTACTTTTTCCTCCTGTTTCCCGAATAGCTGGTGCTGTGTGACATCTCTGCTCTTTCCAGCCTGGCTGTACTTCATGGCCTGGGAGTCACCTCCCCAGTCTTCGCAGTCACATCTGAGAGGTCCTTGGGGGCTTTTGTTTTCTAATTTTTATTTATTTTTTATTCTTTTTTTTGTTTTTCTCTTTTTTCGGTCTCTCATCTCTCCACTCCAATGCAAGCTCCCTTAGCAGTCTTTTTTGTTTGTTTGTTTGTTTTTGGCTCCTGTTTCTCTCTCCTCTTCCCCATACCCATCTTAGCTCCACACATCACAGTCTTCCCCCTCCTTCCTGCATAACTGCACCGTGCACTGAACATCACATCCCAGAGCAGCACAGGCACAGCCTACCAGAACCTTCCCTGCACTGATTCCCAGCCTTCCCTGTCAACCCTAGTACATGCCACAAACAACTCATCCCAGTAACTCCCCTTCAGCTGGACCTGCTGTACCACAGCTGAGTGACTGACCCTGCGCATTGGATAAGGAGGCAAAAAGTATCACGCCCATATACCAGCAAAAAAAAACAAAGAATGCACAGCTCACCTGCTCAGATGTAAGCAAATAAAACAAAAAGCAGGACGAAATAAACAAATCTACAATCAATAAATCAGCAAAATAATTAACGAATATCCTGAAGACAGCAGACAATATTGAAACATATACAAAAAACAGGACAGGATGGTTCCAGTAGGTGTCCAAAATAAAACACCAGATGACTTTCCAGCAGAAGAAAAGGCACTAGAACTACATAATAGGGAATTCAAATCTCTAATATTCAGAGCTATCCAAGAGTTGAAGCAAAAAGCAGACAAAAATGAGGAAAAAATAGACAAATTCATGGAAAAGGCAAACAAAATCATGGAAAATATAGAGAAAAAAGGAAGAATTCAGGAAAATTATATAGGAATAAAATGCAAAATAAATTTGCAACTAGAAATCATACAAAGACAAAAAATAGAAATCCAAAAGATAAATGACAAGATGTCAGAAATGGACAGCATCATATAAAGGTTGAGGAGCAGGTTTGAAACCATGGAAGAAAGGATCTGCGAAATTGAAGACAAAAACTTAGATACAACTCTATTTGAAGAAAAATCAGAAAAAAGAATAAAGAAAAATGAAGAGATGCTGAGAATTGTGTAGGATACAATCAAAAGCAAAAATTTGCCAGTGATCGGAATTCCAGAACAGGGGGAGAAAACAGAAAACACAGAAAGGATCATCAAAGAACTGCTGACAAAAAATTTCCCCAATATCATGAAAGATGAAAAGTTGACCACCCAAGAAGCTCAATGAACCCCATATAGGATAGAATTCAAAAGAAAATCACCTAGGCATATTATAATCACACTCACTAAAACCAAAGACAAACATAGAATCCTGAGAGCAGCTTGAGAAAAACAAAAAGTCACGTACAAAGAAGAAACAATAAGACTAAGCTCTGATTATTCGGCAGAAACGATGCAGGCAAGAAGGCAGTGGGGATGACGTATATAAAACCTTGAAAGAAAAAAATTGGCTGCGAAGAATAATATATCCTGCAAAACTCTCATTCAAATATGATGGTGAAATAAGAACATTTCCAGATAAACAGAAATTAAGGGACTATGTAAAAACCAAACCAAACTTACAAGAATTACCAAAGGGAGTCCTTTGGCCTGAGAACAAATAACATCAGACCACAGGCTGAATCTAGGACACAGAATAGTAGCAGACAGATGCTAACCAGGAAATGAACTCTCAAAGACTATCTGAAACTAAAAGAATTAAAACAGGGAACAAGAGAGGTTAATCTGTAAATGACAACAAAATCAGAAAAATAAAAGAGGGAATAAATGGTATAGATACAGAATTTTCTAATGGAGAGGAAGGTAAGATAATATGAAGTAATAATAGGCTGGGTCAAACCTAGGAAGATACGGGTAAATTTCAAGGTAACCACAAAGAAAGTGAAGAAACCTAGTCATCAAAATAAAGAAGAAAAACATAAAGTCTCAGTAAAAACAAAATCTACAAAAACAAAAGAAATGAAAAAAATCCACAAACAAAACAAATTCAT